CATAAAATCATCGACACTAAAGATTTCAATGAAATAACAAGAATACGGGTTCTCAAGAAAACTACAATATATACATTCATCTGAAACGGAAGAATTCTGGGCGTTTATCGAACTTTGTTTCATTCTGACTCAAGGAATATCAACTTGATTTTCACGTACGATTAGAAAACACCCTGCATGGATATTAACAAAGAAATATATGTAAATGGGTTTGAAATCCATAAAGTTTTCACGTTCACAATGCGCAATTGGAGATCACCACGATCTCGGCGGGACACTGCACCTGTTGGAAGGACACCTGCGTACTGGACCAAGAGTGGAATAAAGTCTTCAAAATATAGTATCATTTTTAGAAGTCCACATATTTGGTTGGTGGGTAAAGTTGATTCATTGATTAACTGATGAAACGATGCAATTAATGGACGAAAAACATGATACTTTCAATTTATTAATCGGAAAAAGATCATAAACATTCCACAACAATCATAAAATTATCGACACTGAACATTTCAATGAAATAACGAGATGAGTTCTCATGTGGTTCAAACTCGATAGCCAGAAACAGACCAAATACCTTTGTTGTCTCTAACTTATCACCAAATGATCCATCCTATGAAGAGCTCTTCGAATTCTTGTCTCTGAAGCTTGACCAAATTCAACAGAACCATCCAGCAGCAGAAATCATCATCATACGCGATTTCAATGTACACAACACTGCTTGGCTCGTACACTCTAGAACGGATGAAGCTGGGCGACAAGCTGAAGCTTTCGCCATCACTCACGGCTTAGAGCAGCTTATCAAAGAACCCACACGAATTCCCGATGCCAATAACCATTCAGCTAACATACTTGACTTATTCCTCACTTCCACTTGGCAATTCTGACCACACACTCATCTCCACAACATGCCAGTTTTTCATTCCATCAACTGCTCCGGCACCGCCACGTCTTATATGGCATTACAATTCAGGAGATTGGGACGGTCTCCGCATGTTTTTCTCCGAGTTTCCTTGGCATAGAGTATGCTTTGACTATCTGAGGACCCTTCACAGTGTGCTGCGGAAATATCCGAGATCATCATGCTCGGAGTGGACACATACATACCTCATCTTTCGAAAAGATCATCACCTTCGAAACCCTGGTTCAACAAAAACTGTTCTAGAACTGTTGCCTTGAAACAAACAGCCTACCATCGCTGGCGCAAAAACCCTAACCTCGCGACTAGAGCAGAATACGTTGATGCCAGGAATAACTGCAGCCAAACAATAGATGCTTCGAAAGAAACATAAAATGCCAAGATAAGATCGAAACTCATAGATTGCCCCAATGGCTCCCGTTCGTTTTGGTCCCTTGCTAAAGCGGTCGGAAGACATTCCACTAATAGTTCATTTCCACCACTGTCCAAATCCGACGGCACATTAGCAACAACATCGCAGGAGAAAGCAAATATTTTTGCAGAGATGTTCGCAGCAAACTCTACTTTAGATTCCCAAGGAAAAGTGCCGCCAGACATTCCACCCGTTGAGAGTCGAATAGTCGAATGCCCGAAATCGTCTTCCGTCATCGCACTATCAGACGAAATTTGCTCGGTCTCAAAACGAATAAGGCTAACGGTCCTGATGGATTTCCACTCATTATCCTCAAAAAATGTGCACCAGAATTAACACCGATTTTCTGCAAGTTGTTTACCATCTCGTACAGGTCGGGTATTTTTCCATCATGTTGGAAGACAGCTAGAGTCCAACCAATCCCCAAAAAAGGGAACAAGGACCTGCCCAACAACTACAGGCCCATTGCCCTGTTATCAGTAATCTCCAAAGTGATGGAGAAAGCCATCATTATTGAGCTTATCAAATATCTGGAGAGCTCAGGAATCATCATCAATGATAGACAATACGGCTTTCGCCACCGAAGGTCTACTGCAGATCTACTTGCCTACGTCACCCATTTATGGCAAGCTTCAATAGAAAAACACAGGGAATCTCTAGCTGTCGCGTTGGACATATCGAAAGCATTCGACCGTGTTTGGCACGAAGGACTCCTCCACAAACTACCATCATACGGCTTACCACCTCAGCTAGTCTGATACCATTGGGATCAATTCCGGCGTTCCACAAGGATCAATTTTGGCACCAACATTATTCCTGCTTCATATCAATGATCTGTTGGGAGTAACAACTTGCCCCATCCACAGCTTTGCAGATGATAGTACCCTCCATACTGCGTTCTCTTCCAGAATTCCCATTTCTTCCCAGGAAACTAAGAACTCACGGCGCAGGCAGGTCAATGCTGTCAATGAAGATCTTGCTGAAATCACAGCCTGGGGAACAAACAACCTAGTTGAATTCAACGCCACCAAAACTCAAGCCTGCATTTTCTCTAGAAAGCGGAACTCAGTATGCCCGATATTGTAATGTCTGGCTCCACCATCCCCACCAAGCCCACCATATCTATGCTCGGTATTTCCATCAGCAACACTCTTTCATGGGATAATCATGTCAGACCAATCGCAAAAGCTGCTTCACAAAAACTCGGATTCTTGATCCGTGCGAAAAGCTACTTTACACCTCAACAGCTTCTCATGATCTACAAAGCGCAGATACGGTCTGTTCTAGAATACTGTTCCCACATATGGGGTTCAGCACCAAAACATACGCTGATGCTCTTAGATTCCATTCAGAGAAGAGCCATTCGCCTGGTGGGTGACGCCACACTCACTCACTCTTTGACATCATTGGAACACCCTAGAAAGGTCGGCGACCTTTCACTTTTCTATCGATACTTCCACGGCAAATGTTCTTCGGAAATCTCTGGTATCATCCCTTCACTAGCAATACCAATCAGACGAACTAGACAAGCCCAGTCAGCACATCCTTTCGTTGTCAACCTCGAATGATGTCGAACAGCACTTTATCAAGACTCCTTCATCCATAGAACGGCTAGGCTCTGGAATTCATTGCCTGTGGAAGTATTCCCAACAACATATATAATCTCCAAAAGTTCAAAAAAAATTCCAATACCTATCTCCTGTCCCTATCCTCCCTAGGAACGCACGATGTTCCTTGAACATTATAGGGATTCCCTTTCGTGCGCTCCAAGCGATAAAAAAAAGAAAACTACAATATACATTCATCTAGGAAATGGAAGAATTCCGGACGTTTATGGAACTTTGTTTCATTCAGACTCAAGGAGTATTAAAAAACATCCTGCATGGATATCAGCAAAAAAAGTTGTAATTGTGTTTCAAAATCTATAAAGTTCTCACATTCACAATGCGTAATTGGAAGATCGCCACGATCTCGGCGGTACACTGCATCTATTGGAAGGACACCTGGTGTCCCTGGTGATTGGACCAAGAGTGAAATAGTCTTCAAAATATGGTATCATTTTGAGAAGTCCACATTTGGTTGGTGAATAAAGTTGATCCATTGATTAACTGATGAAACGATGCAATTAATAGACGAAAAACATTATACTTTTAATTTATTAATCGGGAAGTGAATATGAACATTTCACAACAATCATAAAATTATCGACACTGAACATAAATCAATGAAAAAAGGAGATGACGAGTTCTCAAGAAAACTACAATATATTTTCATCTAAGATTCGGAAGAATTCTGGATGTTTATCGAACTTTGTTTCATTCAGACACAATGAATATGAACTTAATTTTTACGTACGATTAGAAAACACCCTGCATGGATATTAGCAAAAAAAATGTAATCGTGTTTCAAATCTATAAAGATTCACTTTCACAATGCGCAATTGGAGATCGCCACGATCTCTGCGGGACACTGCAGTCACTGCACCTGTTGGAAGGACACCTGCAGATTAGACCAAGAGTGGAAAAGTCTTCAAACTATGGTATCATTTTGAGAAGTCCACATTTGGCTGGTGAATGGAGTTGATTTTTTTTTATGTTCTTCTGGTTTCCACGAAAAGGTATATCCTGTAATGTTCAGAGAACATCGTGAGAACCAAGGAAAATAAGGTAGGAATTGGTGTTCTTCTCGAATTTCTGGAGGTTATATGCCTCGGGGAACACCTCCCTTGGCAATGTGTTCCAGAGCCTCGCTGTTCGTTGGATGAACGAATCTTTGGAAAGAGATGTTCTGCAGGTCTCCAAAGTGACCACCAGAGGGTGCGAAGCCTCAACTCGACGGGTTAATCTTGCGGGGACTGCCAAGAGAGGAACAATTGTTGATATTTCAGAAGAGCATCGTCCATGAAAATATCTATAAAATAGAGCCAGATCGCCAACTTTTCTACGGTGTCCCAGAGCAATGAGTGGATCTGTGAGCGAGGCATCACCCACGAGACGAATTGTCCTGTTTTGGACAGAATCCAACAGTTTCAGGGTATGTTTGGGTGCTGCACTCCAAATATGGGAACAGTATTCCAGGCAAGGTCGGATCTGTGCCTTCTAGATCATAAGCAGCTGACTGGAAGTGAAATAGTTCCTGGCCCGAAATAGAAAACCAAGTTTTTGGGATGCACTTTGGGCAATTGATCACACGTGATTTTCCCAAGAAAGGTTATTGCTGATAGTGATCCCAACCATCGGAATGGATGTCCTCAAAGGTATGGAGAAACGGTATGCTTGTGTTTCGTTTGCATTGAAATCTACCAAGTTATTGGATCCCCATTCGAGAATTGTTGTTAAGTCCATATTTATGTTGTCAACATTTCTCCCTCGTTCGTTTCTTACTTGCCTGACGAAACGATGATATTAATAGACGAAAAACATTGTACTTTTAATTTATTAATCGGAATAAAGAGAATATGAACATTTCACAACAATCATAAAATTATCGACACTGAACATTTCAATGAAATAACGATATATGACGAGTTTTCAAGAAAACTACATTATACATTCATCTAGGAAACGAAAGAATTCCGGAAGGTTTATCGAAGTATGTTTCATTCAGACTCAAGGAAATAAACACCCTGCATGGATATTAGCAAAAAATATGTAATCTATAGAGTTTTCACGTTCACAATGCGCAATTGGAGATCGCCACGATCTCGGCGGGACACTGCACCTGTTGGAAGGACACCTGCGGATTGGACACGTTCTCGAGGAACTCGAACCTGAACCGGCAACCGGGCTGCAGCACCTCGGGCAGGTCGCTGCACTGCTCCACCGAGTACACGCCTCCGTACTGGTCGCCCCAGCCGCTCCACGGGGCGTTCCATTGGTCGTGACAGCCCTGGAAATGGAAATGAGTCGAATTAATTTTGATCCAGGGAAACAATACAGGATTATAGACATATCTCAATCATGTTCACAATTGTTGTCGCAATATTCTTTGGCCAATGTTGGACAGTAAACACAAATATCCCTGAGGTGTCTTATTCATGTCTCGCTAGGTAACAATGCGAATGGGCGAGTAGACTATGATAATGAATTTATTGGCATTCAATTAGCCCATTGTGTCGTTAGGGACCTAAATTAATTTTCACGACACATCTCACGTTTTTTTCATGTAAGTAATGAGTATATGCGTTGTAAAGGAATATTCTCAGATAAATTGTGAACATACAAAAATGGATATATATATATATGCGTTGTTCAAAATCATTGAATTTCAGAGCTCATTTCAAACGTAATGTCATGGCCGCCATTTGGCGATTCGTCGAATGAATAGTGACGTCAGTTTTCATGCTATTTCGTTATTGGTCAGATAATCTTTCATTCCCATTTGCATGCTTGTCAAGTCACCAATTATAATCAAGCTATCAAAAAGATGTTAGAGTCCTGTTCCTGTCGTTGAATAAAACATAATAGGAGAATATGTCATGATATTATAGTTCATTCTTGACTCCCTCGAGCAACCAGCATGTCCAAATATTTCTTATATTCCATAATAAAATATCATGTGAATGTCAGAGCCTTGGCAACATTGTGCTGGCTGTGAACTGACAAGACAATTCGTGCGCCGTGTTGTCACGTTCACTAGTTCGAATGTTCTTTAGTGTGAACTCATATAACTTACACAAATGTATTATTATAATCAGTGAGCACAAACATCCCTGGGATGTTTTGGGATGTTTTGAAAATGTTGGCATGAAGATGTTATTTTGAGACGTAATATGCACTGACCAAAGAGGTCTTTGAAGGATATTAAAGTATTGTTTTTGTTCTTCTGTGGCATTTCTTTGTTTGCCTACTGAGAGGTATCCCTGGGATGTTTTGGGATGTTTTAGAAATGTAGACATGAGGATGTTTTTTTGAGGCGTAATATGCACTTCCCAAAGAGGACCTAGAAGGATATTGAAAGTATTGTTTTTGTTATTTTGTGCCCTTTCTTTGTTTGCCCCACCACAACGTCTCATGCTTACGTCAGAATATGATGAATTCTGATTTGTTTTCGATTTTGTTCTTCTTGTTCGCAATTGGCATTCGCGTTTGCAGCGTGACACGCTTATACATCACGCTGCTAACGAACAGAAAGGAATTTGGTGAAGTTTATTGTGTTAGAAGATTTATTTAGTTTGTAATAATGACCATCAGATGCAAGATGTGTTGTTCGGTGCCTCAGTGTAATCAATATATTATAAAAGTACGAATTTATCAATACACAGCTTCTCCGCAGTTGCAAAATCATGCATTGTGGAGAACATTTCAGAAATTGGGAACCTATTTCCAATTATATGTCTGTGTGTAGTAGGTAAGCACTACTCAGAAACCGATTATGAAGGTAATTTCATATCAAGAAAATATTGTTATGTTCAATCCATTTTTAATGCATTTTTTCATTCAAGGAAAATGGAATCCTAATGCAAAAGTTCATTATTTGACAAAAGGCTTCAGAAAAGTACCTCGAAAATAGTTTTTTACAGCGATTTAATGTGCGCATGGCGCGTTGAAGATGTTTTGTTGTGTCCATGAAAGGGCTTCAAAAAGATCTAGGGAGAAGGTAGTTTTGTGACATATCAAGGACATCTCGATAATTGCCACCTGTGGCGGACATTGGCTGTTCTATAATAGTTCTATTCATGTGTGAACAGAACATCGCAGTGGAGGTTCGATGTCTCGAAATCTCGTACTTTTAACATTTCTGTGCTCGCTGGGATTGTGGCTATTTCGTAGTTGAACCTATATATTTTTGGAAGGGGAAGTTCAATTTTTAAAAGAGTGTCATATAGGAGGAAATATCACCGTGGATTTCTTACCTGGGTGAAGATGCCTACTCCGCCACCGGGAATGGCCAGATCGAACTGGTTTGAGCCCAAGTCGCCGCCGGTGTTGGTGATCTGCACAAGGAACTGCTTGCCGGCCAGCTGGCCTTGGAAGGTCAGCAGCATGCAAGAGCAGCATAAGTTGTTGTCGACGCCACCTGAGCAAAGTGAAACAATCGTTAAACCCAGTTAACACAAACATCTATGAGATGTCGCATTCATGGCAGTTGATGTCACAAAAGCGAATCACAATATTGCATCGCTGATATCTACGCGGAATTCCTTGTGTGACAGATAGTTCGCAAATTTCATCACATTCTGTTGGATCTGAGACCAATATGGATATAATATTTATGAGGCCCCTTAACTTCACAACGACTATAATTTCAGAATCTGAAATTTCAGTCGTTGAGAGTCATAATTTGATGTATCTGAATTGACAAACTGATTCACATTGTGCAGAATGAAGAAACGAAAATATGCTTCAATATGTGAATCTCTCTCACATCTCAAGGAAATTCATTTATGAAAGTAATATCGAATAATACTTGGAAATATCAGTGTACTCGCATACTCATGAATGTAGCGCACAATGTGACTTATGTAAAGTTTCGTACACACTCGGTCAGTGTCGGTCTGACTGATGTACACGTGTCTGTAAATTCTTTAGCGACGGCATGCTTTTGTCTCGTCCATTTCGTTGTTTCAGTGCATTAGTTCATTCGGTGTTGGTATGCAGTTCGTGTTTGGCGTTATTGCTTAGACTGAATAAGCATCTCTTTCTAATCGAAAATCATGATTGTGATTAAAGATACTGTGTGTTTCTCATCTAAGTTACAGGGTAAGTAACTACAACGTTCATAACTTGATACAATAATATACCTATAATATACTGGTTGACAATGAAGACAGGGTAGACGACACCACGTCGCCATTTCAAGACTATATGATGATACTTACAATGATACCTTGGAATATATCATTTTGGGATCAGGGTATAAGTGAACATGCATATTCTGATTGTATATTGGGAAAGTCTGATTGAGAACAAAATTATTGCAAAATATTATGAATGGAAGGAAAAAATGCGCCGCAGCTATTCTCTATCTTCTTTATCACCCGGTATAGAACAGTAGGTATGCAGTGTGATTTCATCTTCTCATAAATAATTTCAATCTTACACGACTCCACGTAGATATGAAAGTGACTTGAACATTTTTCAATACTCTCATTATGGTTCTCTACTCACTCTCTATAAGATATTCTGAACAGGAAATGGGCAAAATGAAATCAATTGATTGTTTCTATATTCATTTTCAGATGTCAAATCACAAAAGTCATCTGGACAACTTTGGAACAATTTGAAATTCTGAGCAGGGATTGGTTACCATGCTACAACGGAAGGAGAGATGAGGAGCAAATATTGGATTCTCTTGTGTTACTTTCAGTTCTCCATATTCATCGCGTTAACTCATGGAGATATATAACCCTGTATAATTTTATTCGAAAAAGTCTAGGCCTGCGCTGTTTTTCTAATTTCAATCATTGTTATATCTAGCAGGTAGTTTTGCTCAACATAACATGTACGTACTTACCTATTCTGATGTGTAATGAGACTAATTTTCAATAAAATCGAGTTGCCTTGTGAAACCCTTGATTGATCTATTTGACAGAGATTCTAGACCGATTAGTTCTCTCATTGAATACCTTCATCAATCTAGATGTGATTTCACTTGAGACATCAAAAATCAATGTGTATGTAGCATTTCTGAGACGCACAATATGATTCTTCCAGGGACGCTACGATACCAGTATAATAATCGAAAAGAACCTCACATTCAGGAATGGTCGATGGTCTTCTAAACCTCACATTCTGATTATAATGTGACCTCAATGTGAGTCTTATTTCAACGTGATATCTGGAGTCACATTCAGCTAACTTTTGAGTCCCATTCGGCATCTAAATGTGAAGCGAAAAATGACCAAAAGGGTCCGGAATAGAGGATCTGGAGATGTCGACGTGATTCACAAATCGAATCGCGGGTGTGATCTCAATCATGAATGTGAAGTGTACTGACGTCTCTGAGATCAATTTGTGTTAACTGGGAAGTCTTTGCGAAATCACTTGAGAGAGCTGGATCGAAAATGATCTGCGCCCATTTAGTACACGACGTCCAGTGGACGTCTAGTTTAGGTCCAAATGATGTTCAAACGCCATGAACCTAGCATTGACGTTCAATGGTTGTACAATTGAGGATATATATTCTAATGTATGGATGTTCATTATTGGAAGTACGATATTTGACATACCAAAACATCCATATTTGAAGGTTCAGAACGTCAGAGATATACGGAATCGGTTCTGGATTGTACGTTTACGATTCGAACGTCTATGTACGTTCAATGAATGTACTATTCCGGATATATTTTGTAAGTTCAAAACTGTACGTCTAATGGATGTTTATTGGAAGTACAATAGTCGACATTACCTAAAAATCCATATTTGCTGCGGTTTCTGAACGTCCAAGAAATGTACGTAATCTAGATTGTACGTTTACAAATTGAACGTCTATGTACAATCAATGAATGTCTGATTCTGGATATATATATTGTACGGTCAATATTGTACGTCATAATTATGCATGTTCATTGAAAGTACAATATTCGACATTAGGAATCATTCATATGATGGAAGGTTTAGGACGTCCAAAAGACGTATATGATCGGATTGTTTACGAAATGGACTTCAATGCAACTTCAGTAGATGTACGATGTATTGTACGTTCAGTTTCGTAGGTCCAATGATTGTCCTATGGATGTACCTACAATTTTCGACTTCATAAAACATATATTTTATGGCAGCTTTAGAACGTCTAAGAAATGTACGAAAGTGATATAGACTTTACGTTTACAAATTGAACATATATGTACGTTCAATGAATATACGATTCTGGATATCTATTGTACGTTCAATATTCAACCTCTCAGGATTGTCTATTGAAAGAACAATGTGCGACGTTGTGAATCATCCATATAATGGTAATTTCAGGATTTACAAAGAATGTACATAAATGTTTCCAGTTTGTACGTCAAAAAATTGTACTTTTATGTACGTTCAGTGGATGTATGATTCCGGATAATATGTTTTGTATGTTCAGTTTCGTGCGTCCAAGTATTGTCCAGTAAATGTACATTTCATGAAATCATGAAAGATCCATATTATGCTAGTTTTAGAACGTAAATGCAATGAACTTACGCTCACAAATTGAACATCTATGTATGTACGTTCAATACGATTCTGGATATAATATATCGTACGCTCAATAGTGCTTGATCCATATAGACTTATACACTGAATAAACATCCAATGGATGCCCATCAACCACTAGTACAATGGAAATTCGTGAAGATTTAATTGAATGATTGACGTCCATTGGACTTCCTCTGTACATCCTCTCGTCGAATCGAAATATACCACGATATATACGATTTGCCAATCGATTAATTCTTCACATTCGAATAGTGAGTTTATCATATTTTCGATTTCATGTGATATGTATCATGAAGAAGAAACAAATTTGAAGGCAGCAAAAGTTTTGGAGCGAAATCAGATTTTGTCAAGAAGATGTTCGCTACAAGTGTCTCTTCTGTGGATCTCATCCTTTTATTCATTCATCATTTCATTCATTTGTGTTTACTTGATTTAAAATTTCTAGGTATTGATCTTTTGTCTCTGTATCTTATGGATATCCTATGGACGTATTCAGGACGTTTGTTTCGGATATCTCAAGTGGATCCGCAATCGGATTTCTTATAGATATACATTTTATGTCCATGGATATCCCGCCTTGAATAGGACTTGAAATGGATATCCATCAGATATCCTGTGTTAACTGGGTTACAAGTGTCTATTTAGACAGTTACAACTGTCTAATTAGACAGGTTAAAACTGTCTATTTAGACAGTTACAAATGTTTATTTAGACAGTTTCAACTGTATAGTTAGGCAGTTGCAACTGTCTATTTTCATCGACAGTTACAACTGTCTATTTAGACAGTTGCAACTGTCTATTTTGAAATAACGTAACGTGAGCCCTCTACGCTTTCGTAACCCCCGACCCGGCGCCGTGAGTACATGGTGATTGCCCATAGCCGACCGAACGCTTACCTGTGAAAGAACCAGCAGCGAAACCGAAAGCCAGAGTAGAATTAACCACGAACGCCTGCTGGTTGCTGCACATGTAGGAAGACCCGCCAATGCATCCCGACTGCACCGACGCGTTGACTACAGTGTTGCCGTCTATGGCGCAGGTCTGGACGGGCGTCATCGTAGGCGTGTTGATGTTCTCCTTCCAGGCGCAGGAAGGCTTGCAGCAGTCCCAGTAGCGGGTGGTTGTGCCATAGCCGCTGAGGCCGCCGTCTACGGGGACGATTTCGGGCGAGGCATCAGGGGCTGCGAGGCTGCCGGAGGTAGCGACTAAGGAAGAGGAAAATGTTCATGATGTTGCCTGTAAGCAGTGGCGTAACAAGAGGGAGGCAAGATGGGTAAAATGCCTGAGGCCGCGGGGCCCGTTAGGGTCGCGAACACAGGAGGTAGTTATTATTTATCATCAAAAATGAAATAGTCCAAGAGCCGGCTGAATATTTCGATCGTCATCTAAGAAATGAATGATAAGTCATGGAAACCATCCATTCTCAAAGTCGTCCGGTATTTTTCAACAGGAGAAAAAACGAACTCAAAGTCGGTCGACCACAATATTAAATATCAAAAATATAATCAGTGTGACTATATAGTTTCGGCTCTACGGCCATCTTCAGACACAATTAAAAAGTACCTAGAAAGTAATAAGTAGTATAGGTGTTGAACAAAATGGTACCTGAGAAAGAGATGACATACCTGTGGACCTTATGTGGAAAAGATTAGAGATTAGATTAGATTTTGGAATGGGGCCTTCGGGCTATCTGCCTCCACACTGCGACCTTTTCAGATCTATTGTGTCTGCCCTCAAAATCGATTAGAGTTCTTCGGCTAGCCCCGTCTTCTCTATGAGACTCCATAGGCTAGCTTTCAGATCTCCTGTGTATCTCTGGGCTCCTGGTTTCTCCTCACCCAGCGTAAGGAACCTTAGTCTTGACAAGCCCTCACAGTGTGGCAAAGTATGTGTACTGCTGTTTCTTCCTCTTCTTGACAGCACAGCAGTTCTTCAGTCAGACCTATCGTAATCATGTGTTTGTTGAGCCTACAATGCCCTGTGAGAAGTCCCACTAGTATTCTAGTTGAACTTCGTTTCTGGCTTAGTAGATATTCTGTGAATGTTATCGATGGTTTTTTAATGAACTCTTTAGCCTGTGTCATTCCTGGCAAGTTGTTCCACCATTCTTGAGATTTGGTTTGCATCCATGATTTGATACTAGTCTCTTGTATAGCTTTCGCATTACCACAGAAGGGTTCTGGGCCATTCAGAGGTTTGTTCGCTCCTGCTCGGGCAAGTGAGTCTGCCTCTTCATTTCCCTCGTACCCTATATGTGCTGGTACCCATGCTAGATTCAGTCTGTTCTGACTGCCCAGTGCATTTAGGGTTTCTAAGCAGTCCCATACTAGTTTTGAGTTAACTTGCATAGAGTTGACTGCTTTGATTGCCGCCTGGCTATCTGAATAGATTGCAATGATTTTGCCTTTAAACTCTTGCCTTATCAATTTTTTCACGCAATGATGTATTGCAATAATTTCTGCCTGAAACACCGTCGCGTATTTGCCTAAGCTCAGTGAGATTTTTGTCTTTGGCTTGGCGCCATAAATACCAGCTCCTGATCCTTCATCAGTTTTGGAGCCGTCCGTATAGACAGCAATGTCTGCATTGATAGGAGGTCCTTCCTTCCATGCCTCTCTGTCCGTTATACTTATTCTAAAAGTTTTTTCAAAGCTATATTTTGGAATTATGCCATCCGTTGGCATCCCCATGATGGGGTCGCTTTCCAACTCTTCATATAGCTTATGTGGAAAAACATCTTAACAATAAAAATTTTTATCACTAATAATCGGTTCGTTATAATAAGCCGAAACTATTGTCACACTGATTATATTTTATTGTGGTCGACCGACTTTGAGTTCGTTTTTACTCCTGTTGAAATAAATGATATGTCTGTAGGTTAATCGAGGAGTTACATTCATTATTCCAGGTTTTTTGGGATTTTCTCTCCCCGTTTCTATGATATAAAAATATGAATATTATTTCGATATACGTGTGGCAAGGACAACTCAGATGATTTGCCCAAAAATGTCACTGCATTTGAAGAATATTTCTATCAGAGAGCCTAAAAGAAAAATTCCATAGCTTGTCAGTGACAATTTGTATTGAAAACGGTTTGGAGAAGAGAAATGAAGGTATAAGGGTGTCCGGAAATTATGCGCAAAAAATTAAGGGGGTGCTTCTACATGATGAAATAAGGAATTATAATTCTATGTATACTTGGGTCTGGAAAAGCGGATTATCTCCCCTTTCCGAATATCCGAACGTGCCGCAATTCAAACTGAGAAAAAGTTTGTGGCAGAACGTCAATCTTTTCGCAAATATTTCGCCTCTCTCGAAAAATAATATCCGATGGGCTAGTATAAAAGTCAACATGTGGATTTTAATGCTTTTGGTGCGAGCACCACATGACTTTCACACTGGTCCATCGTATACTATCTTTCGACAGGGACGAAATATTCTCGAATATAATGACGTTCTACCACTGACTCAGTTCACTTTGAATCTCGAAACGTTTGGATATTCGCAATAATGCGGACATTATCCCCTTCCATTTGCATCTTGTTCCAACTCGTTATCACAAGACGGAAATATGTCCGGAATAACGGCAGCAAATATATCGCTTCACAAACGATAAGATTTCCACAAAATTCTCAATCACACGATATGTTTCGCTAACACATTCCCAGCCAACCATCGTGTGACATCAACATCTGTGTGATGTAACAACCTTGCATAAATGCAATATCTCGTTAACACATATTATCGACGTAGATTCGATATCAACGTCGCAAGGTGACATCGCAACCAGGAAACCATGTAATGTGACAGCGACTTCTTCAAACTACATCTCTCCGACGTTAACTAAATAATTCACATTGATATCCTCATGAGATATCTTTGTGACCTGTGAATGTGACGCAGACATGCGCAAAACGTCAGTCAGTCAGTCAGTGATTGAGTCCGACTCCGTACAGACTATTTCCTTCCAAATTCTGAGATGATTTATAGCACATATTATAGCAGCTTCAAATTGGAGGTATACAATCATTTAGGAACGACGGTGAGTTCAATCACAATAGGTAACATTGTAATTATCTCTGAGTTAGGAATATTTCAATCTAAAACAAGGTGGATGAAAGATCCCAAGATAATGTAAGGGTATTCGATATGTATCATTTATGAATAATGTATATTTGTATTGCTATATTTTATTATATATGAGTCATGTTTTACTTCAAGATTACTAATTAGGGTGATTGTCATGATAAGTTTTGTATCATCTGTTTTTACTTTCGGAAAATAAACATTTTCTTCGTAAAGTTGAATAATTATTATTATTATATATCCCACGAATATCACAGGTACGGCGACCATATCATCGATGTCGCAGTGTGATGTATTTCTAATATGAAATGTACACTTGTATGTGACCTGGTAGTGATTTTTCATGTGATGTCGCATTTCATGTCTGAACGACGTCACAGTGATGTTGCTTGAGTCGGACATTTTCACATCGCCACGTTGTATCGATAACATGTTTGTGACTCCAAATGCGATATCGCATGTCACAAAGTGATGTGGCGTATACATCACTTATACATCTCATGGTTGGCTGGGTTAGCTTCCTCAGGTGCAGAAATACTGGTACAATGAAAAAAAAGTCGGTAGGTACTCTAGGTAGGTATATCGGGAAATGTCAAATTTTCATACTCATCATTTCTTTGGACGTTTCAGAAACAAAATCTGCTGTTGATTCGTACGTGAATAAAGTGAAAATCTTCGCATGAGGTGTGTCTGTTTTACAATGAAGAGTAATGTCCGTATGACACGAGCCAGTTTTTCGCTCATAAAAATGGATCATTATTGAACACAATCAAACATTCAGAATAATCTGGATCATTTTCTGTGGGAAAATTCTGTGCTGTGTCACACGAAATGAGACAAGGGGCATGCGCATGTTATGAAATAATATAATATGCCATGCATATGCTCATGTCGGTTGTACGTGTACATTGGCCTCAAAATATATTTTTGGAAGAAGATATTCAAAATTGAAGAATGGTATAAGTAAAAGTTCCTCTTAAAAATATCTGTCCGCAGTTCTGCAAAAGTGGGTGCTATGCTCAGCGTATTTTATCAAAAATATTGGGATGGAAAAATATCAAAAAATTGTCTTGTGAATCGCTCCGAAGAAGAAACACCCGTGGGTGAGTTCTAGCTGGATATATTGCAAAATGAACACCTTTCTGGAAACCCTGTATCATTTAAGTATCTAGAAATTTCATAGGAATGAATAATGATCAGTTCACTTTTGTTCTGAACAAGATAAACTGAAAAAAGATTCAAATATGCGAGGATGTATTTCACCAGAAATGAGGTAGGTATACTCTATCCACATTTCATCTTTGTCAAAGCATGTCGAAAGCGTCAAGTCGAGCGTTTGTGCGTGTTTGATTGCAAACGATATTGCAAACAAACAGGGATATTTTTGGTATTCTTCAATTAAACCACTAACATATGCTTCGTAAATCAACCATTATAGAACTGATGTTATCTAAATTTGAGATAACAGTGAAATTAATCACCAGTGGTCATATATTATTTGTAATTTATATTACATCAATTACCTTTTCAAAATACTCAGCGAGCACAAATATCCCTGGGATGTTTTGGGATGTTTTGAAAATGTTGGCATGAAGATGTTATTTTGAGACGTAATATGCACTGACCAAAGAGGTCTTTGAAGGATATTGAAGTATTGTTTTTGTTCTTCTGTGGCATTTCTTTGTTTGCCTACTGAGAGGTATCCCTGGGATGTTTTGGGATGTTTTAAAAATGTAGGCATGAGAATGTTTTTTTGAGGCGTAATATTGTCAAGAAGTATAAATGCCTAGGAAGTAACACCACTCAAACTCTCGTTCGTTTCAAGATCTTCTATCATTAATTAACTTTTCCAAATTAAAACATTCAGTACATTGCAGTTCGATCAGGCCAGCGGAGTTCATAGACATCATTTCCTTTATAATTTGCAAAGAAATCGCTTACCGCGGCGATAATACCTAGGTAAGCGGTATCGAAAAGCTATCGACCGTTCCCCGTGTGGAAAATAGCGAACCTAGCATCGATTCCGAATATAAATAGTACCCGAATCGATGAGGCAATCATTCAGTATTCATTATTCATTATTCACGATTCATTATTCATTATTCATAATTCATTATTG